TCCCTCTTTTCCTGCCATAGCTTACCCTTCAACATATTGCTACTCCTTCTTTAGCTCTAACTCTATTTGAAACCCCTGACCAATCCCATTTATTCCTCTCCATTGAAACTCTCCCACCCCGTTCAGCTTGTTTCACTACAGCCAGGACATCCATGTTTCTTCTCATTCAAACATCCACAATCATCTCTTTCATATCATTTGCACACATCCACGCACATTCAACTTCCCACTTGACAATTTTCTTCTTCTTATTCTTTGTTTATTAATCTTTAACAGGAAAAGGGGTTACTAGCCCATGTTTCCCGGCATTTTAGTTGACATTTACAACACCTGGCTTAGGAGGAAAGATTCTTATTCCACTTCCCCATGGATATCAAAGGAAAAGTAATAAGACAAGAACTATTAAGATAAAATCAAAGAAAACTCCCAGATGAGTGTTATAAATAAACGTGTACCTGAATACATGTACACATAACATGTACAAACATATATATACACACCCCTCTGGTTTTCTTCTATTTTCTTTCTAGTTCTTGTTACTTGTTTATTTCCTCTTATCTCCATGGGGAATTGTGTAACAAAATTCTTCCTCCGAACGCCATGCGTATTATAAAGGCGACTAAAATGCCAGGAGCAAGAGCTAGTAACCCCTTCTTCCTTATAAATTACTAAATATTAAAGAGAAACTTTTCGTTTTTCTTTTGGGCCACCCTGCCTCGGCTGGATATGGCCAGTTTTGTTGAAATGAAGAAGCTCAGGCAACATGTAATGCGGAGAAATACTAATCTGCTGACACAGGAAAAGCTTATTCATAATGGACTGGCATAGATGAAAGTGAAGTGTTCTTAGTTCACTGGAAAAAATCAGACATGACAAAATGAGTGTTTGGTTGTATTCCTCAGAACACCACAAGCAACATTAATTGAGTTACAAAATGGAAATGTCATAGTGTATAAAAAGGCATTTTTGAGCATGAGTACTCTCTCTATGAGAAAAACAATGCAACTTATCCTACATTGTAAAATCTGAGTAACACCTCCCTCACAACTTACGACCGAGTTCGTTCCGGAGAAACTAGGTCGTAAAGTCGAAATGGACCTAAGTCGAAGATTTACTACTGCATATCAACATCAACATTTTTGTAAAAATTTATTTTGTTGTTTTATTTGGTATTCTCCAAGTTTTACTTTTACTTTTTATGCTGTTAGTACTGTATTTTATACTGTAAGGTTTAGGATAAACCAACTGATGTACACACAAATAGTTGTTTTATTTTCCAGAAATTTGGCAAAAAAAAACACGGTCTTAAGTCGAGCAGGTCTAAGTTCAGGATGGTAGGTGGTATTTTAACCTAACGTTTTCTTGATAGAAATATATATATTAATACTGGTATGCTGATGAAAATATGTATCTTATTTTCCTGTACACAGTACCATACCTCAAAACAAACATGTTAATTTTGGAAGGCAATAAAATGCAAATAAATAGCATTCATTCACCTTTGTGAAGAGTAATTTTGCTTAGTCCAAAATCTGTGAGTTTGAGATGTCCCTTGTTGTCTAGGAGGAGGTTGTCTGGCTTCACATCTCTATGAACTATGCCATGGCGAAAAATTAAGAACTAATTATATACATGGTTAGGTCTAAGTGTCTCTTGATCAACCGCTCAAAGTGAAAACAGAGAAAAATAAACGTATAGGAAATAGTATGGGAGGTCACTATGTTCTCTTGCTGACAGAATGAGGCAAACATAATGAAAAATGAAAGCTGAAACTCATTTTTCTTCCCTCAACACATGGGTAAGTGATCAACTAATGAAAACAGAACAAATTCATTAAAGTCATATGACTGACTCAGCTTAGTTATGGTTTAGAGGTATTGTGTGAGAAGTAAAAAATTTCTTGTGATTTATCCTATTGTGAAGTACAATGCACTTAAATTGTTCCTAAAGATTACCATGTTTTTTCTTTTTTATACCAAGATTAAAATATCATCACCTTTACTTACACTATGTGTATCTGTATCCTTTCAGTCAAGCATTCCGATACTGTTAGCAGGTTTGGGATTTTTAGCATACTTGTAATACTTTCAGCATGACAAAGCACCAGTAGGTTGAACATCACAGCCACTCCACACTGAGGGTGCATGCACTGCCTACAACCAACTACACTCCCTCTTTTTAACTGGTATGGCTACCCCCATTCCTTTGGCATTATTTTTATATTATTTAGTGCTTCCCCAGAAGGTTACCTGCATCGTTGCATGTTATGGGCCAACTCAAATATGAAGTAAATATTTTGTGTTAATACATTTAGAATTAAACCTCTATACCAACTTACTCTGAAAGGGTTACATGAGTTTCAAGTTTTATGTATTTTGCATATTTTTCATTGTAATCTATACTTTACTTATGGTTGTATGATGTTATATCAGTTTCACAAATGAAATCCTAATGATTGAAATTGTGAATTTGGCACCAAAGCTTTATTATAGATCTCGGAAATGTAAATTACCAATTTTAAGTCTTTCCCACCAACCAGATACTGTAGCATAAATACAAGAACTAGGTATTAAAATTAATCACATTATGGATGAAGGGAGGTATTGGAGTCTTCAAATTAAAGTATAGAATCTTTTCTTTATGCTGTCAAATACAATCATACAATCTCCATTACCTATGGCAAGTTAGTGAAGGGCTAAATCAACTCTGCAGCATAAAATGTAGCCATCGGCTTCATCAATATAGCCATATATAGTCAGGAGGGACTTTAGTCTCCACCAATAAGATACTCCATCACCTGAAATGAAAAAACAACAATAATTATATGTGCATTATATATAAAAACAATGTACAGTACTGTATATACATATTCCAATTAGTCACTTATAGTACAATGTACCGTACTGTATATACATTTTAATAAATTTCCCCTATTAGTCCATTATAGTACCATGTACATTACTGTATATACATATTCCTATTAGTCACATTATAGTACACCATGTACCAGTACTGTAATATACATTATTCCTATTAGTCACATTATAGTACAATGTTACATTACTGATATACATATTCCTATTAAGTCCCATATAGTACAATGTACAGTACTGTATATACATATTCCGATTAGATCACATTATAGTACAATGTACAGTACTGTATAATACAAATTCCTATTAGTCACATTTTCTAAGATGCATAGTATTAAATGGGCATTGAATCGTAAATATATTAAATTCCATAGGCAAAATAAATTAATATTAAAAGGCTTTTATAATTATATATTATTATTAATCAAGAAGTGTATTAAAATTCTGACTTAATTAATATAGTTCATTTTTTAGACTCCAGCTGCTTCCCTCCAAGGCAAAGGATCCAACAAAGAATAAAACACTTTCACTGTTCATTCACTCAACTGTTTCCCACACAAGGCAAAGTGATCCAACAAAGACGACACTTTCACTGTCATTCACTCAACGTTTCCTAAACCAAGGCAAAGTGATCCAACAAAGAAGACACTTTCACTGTCATTCACTCAATCACTGTCTTTAACAGAAGGGGAGCCGACATTACAGGTTTCAGATGCTCTCCAAACTACAACGTCCCCACCCATCATACAGAGTACAGTACTGTACATCCACCTCCTGGACTCAAGTCCCGGCCAACGGTTTCCCCTGAATCCCTTCATAAATTGATACCTTGCTCACACTTCCACCAGCAAATCAAATCACTGTTGCTCCTCTAAAAATATGCACATCCAGAAGTTAACCCATCAACCTTTTAATCTACTAAACCACAGTCCAACATATTTTGCCATCATGCCCTTATATTGTATCTTGCATACTTATTTATCCTTATTCTTAAAATACAACCTCTTCAATTTCATAGCTCCATTTAGAGGCCCTGTATCATTATTACCCTTGTAAACCCCCCAAACATCCTTACTACACCCTACACAACAGTTTCTCCCATTTAAGCATGAAGGTATCTCATAACAGTTTCACAACTTGGTTCAAAACCTCCCTAAAACTCAACATCTCCCAAAATACCCCCTCTTCTCTACACTCCTCCTCCTTACCTGGTGCATAAATACACACTATAACCTCTTTCATATCCCACCCCTTAATTTAAGCTGCATGAAGTCCTTGAATTTTATATAACTTACATTATATCCACCAAGCGTGCATGATCGTGTTAGATATAGAGAATGGAGACAATGGCACTTGGGGACCTGACGACCTGTTGAGTGTGAGCATGGTATATTTAGTGAAGGGATTCAGGAAACCGTTATTTTCTTATAGTCCGGACTTGATCCTGGAAATGGGAAGTACAATGCCTGCACTTTAAAGAGGGGTTTTGGGATTATTGGCAGTTTGGAGGATATAGTTGAGTACTTTATATTTGTATGCTTCTAAATCTGTTGTATTTCTGAGCATCCTCTGCATAAACAGTGATAATGTGTGAGTGTGGTGAAATGATTGGAAGAGGATGAAAGTTTTCTTTTTGGATTTTCTTTCTTTTGGGGTCCACCTTGCCACGGTGGGTAGACGGCCAGCTTGCTAAAAAAAAAAAAAAAAAAATTTCATGTGGTAAATTTTTTTTTTTATTTAGACTTTTGGGTGGTCTTGCACGGATTAATTTTGATTCCATTATTTCTTATGGGATAAATTAATCGCCTTACGATAATTCGGCCACGATGCACACTCATGAACGGATTAATATTGAGGCGGGGTCCTACTGTATATGCTTCTAACTAGTATTCCTGAGCACCTATGCAAAAACAGTGATTAGTGTGGTGAGGTGAAAGTGTTTTTGAAATGATGATGAAAGTATTTTCCTTTTGGGATTTTCTTTCTTTTTTCGGTCACTCTGCCTCGGTGGGAGACGGCCAACTTGTTGAAAAAAAAAATAATTCTTTTACATCAGCCATTTCCCAATCTACTAAATGAGCTACTGAAATAAGCTAATGTTTCAATACCAACACTTTAGCTACTGACCAGATACACATTGGAGGCTGTCTGAAGAGAATAATAAAGGTGAACACAATATGGGCTCTTTGTTCTTGCCAAAGCATCTCTCTCTGTAATCACTGATGAAAAAACTCATTTAAAACAATAAAAGAATACAGTAGTATAAGATTTTGAGTAGTACTAGTCATTGTAGTAGTAGATGATATTTGTGGGGTACTTTCACAGTATAGGTAACTCTGCACTCACAGGTATAAAAAACATATTCCAGCAATAAAAACAAGGGAAAATCAACAAATAATAAAAGCAGCAAACATAAATACTCAACACAGAGAAACACTATTATGCCAAGTTAAAATAGCCAGCATTAAATAAAAACTTGTACATGATTTTGATGCATAGTGTAAATGATTTTAATAGTAGTAAACCCTCAATTTAATGGATCTTGATTTAGTGAACTTTGGAAATATGGGACAAAATCCACTCAATTATATAATTCAGAAATGACTGACAGACTCCCTTGGTTACTGAATTGCCTATTATTGTTGTGATCATGGAAAAAATCTCATTATTCATTACAGTCCCCATTACCAGCCACCCACTCCCCGCTATTAGTGCATTAAATCAAGGGTTTATCATACACATAATTTCACACCAGGCCTGAAATTAGCTTCTCTAGTGACTGCTTAATCACCTTACCTAGTGTTTACAATCTGCAAGTAAATATTGCCGTAGAAAACATCAGCAGCAAAACCTCTTTGTAATGCAGTATTTATAAGAATCCTGATAAGAATAGTTTTAAAATATTAAAATATAATAATCTTACAATTTTGCCCTCATAAGTAAAATTGTGTAGGTAATAGGTTGGTAGACAGCAGCTGCCCAGGGAGGTACTACCACCCAGTCAAGCGAGTGTACAACGGAAGCCTGTTTTACATTATGGTAGATTGCTGGTGTCTTTTTTTCTGTCTTATAAACATGCAAGATTTCAGGTGCATCTTGCTCTTCTACTTACACTTAGGTCACACTACACATACAAGTACAAGCATATATATACACACCTCTCTGGGTTTTTCTTCTATTTTCTTTCAAGTTCTTGTTCTTGTTCATTTCATATTACTATCTAATGGGGAAATGGAACAGAATTCTTCCTCCGTAAGCCATGCGTGTTGTAAGAGGCGACTAAAATGCCCGGAGCAAGGGGCTAGTAACCCCTTCTCCTGATATATTACTAAATGTAAAAGGAGAAACTTTCATTTTTCCTTTTGGGCCACCCTGTCTCGGTGGGATACGGCCGGTGTGTTGAAAGAAAGATATATATATACATACTCCTCTGGGTTTTCTTCTATTATCTTGTTAGTTGATCTTGTTTATTTCCTCTTATCTCCATGGGGAAGTGGAACAGAATTCTTCCTCATAAGAGGCAGCTAAAATGCCAGGAGCAAGAGGGTAGTTACCCCTTCTCCTGTATACATTACTAAAGTTAAAAAGAGAAACTTTTGTTTTTCTTTTTGGGTCACTCTGGGATACAGCTGGTGTGTCGAAAGAAGAAGTAAAATTGTATTTATTTTTAAGGCTGTTTTAATTATTTTTAAACAAGCACTTTTCTGATATCAAAGTATTTCGTCCATCTTATTGTTAACTTTTATTTTTAGCCATATCAGAAATAAGGTTACTGATATCCTACAAGTACTAGATTTTTTTTTTTTTTTTTTGCAAAACAAAATATCAAAGCTATTTTTTTAAAATCTTGAAACATGTAATTATTGTTGTAATTGCAAATTAGAGAATAAGAAACCCATAATTATGAAGCACTCTTTAGTAGCAATTTGAAACATTAGCCCCTTTTAAGTACAGTTATGTACCATTCTAAAAGGGCATTTTGCACTAAGTAATGCTTTTTACAAAACTGCAAAAAATGATCAACACATAAAGAAGTGAGAGATTTTTTACTAATCAACTGAATGAGAAAGTGTAAAAATTTACTGAAGAAAATTGAGAGCAATTGGCTTCAGCTTTCTGTAATGGAGACAATAACTTATTACAATCTATACTGTGCATGAAAAAATTTGAAGGTCATAAAATTAAGCTAAAAACTAAAGTAACAATATATTGGAATGAGGAGGTATATGAAAGATATAGAGGTAGGAGTGTTAAAAACCAATTGTGGCAAAACGAAATTTAAAGAACGTGTCAATATCCGAGGTAAATGTTTCTTCAACCGCCTACCGGTAAAACAGTATTAAAAATAGTCTTGCTGGAAAGTGGCAGAATTCTTCAAGAGGGAAGTAGACAAGTTCATGAAGGAAAATGCATAACCAGCCAAGGCAATGTTTACATGGCTCTGCAAGCCACAAACCCTGTGATCTGACTGATCAGCAAGCACCCTAGATTCCTGGGCCCCAGACCAGCTGCAAATGTATTTTTACATCTTCTACAAACATTTAAATCCAATATTTCACGTACTTTATGTAAATGGTTTGGGAAAAACTGACAAGTTAATGAATGAACATTTTGGCAACATCTGCATATATTTAATGTAGAAACGTTATGCTAGCTAGTGGCTTCATCAGCTAATGTAGAGAAAAAGTAGAAAAATAAGAATCTGAGGTGATCAGTCCCTCATGTCCAGGATGAGGACTAATTACCTCAAACCCCTTCTCATCTTCCACCAGTCTTCTCTGTATTGGACTGATGAAGCCACTGGCTGCAAAACGTTTCTATGACAAAGATCCCAAATGCCTCATTCATTGGGAGGTAAGACACGTGGGCAACAGTTGCCCATGTATCTTACCTACCAACTTGTCGGTATTGTATACCCCTTAAAATATTCCCTCATTCATTTTTTATATACCTCTATATCTTACAAACAAAATATACATACCCTGTTCAACCATGTTCTTGTGTACAATATCTGATTTCTTTAACTACTTGATACATATAGCCGAGTCAAATTGTCCTTCTTGCATCCCAGAAACACTTTTTGTTAACATTAAAGCATAAGAATAAGATGACAATGATTATGTAGCACAGTATAAGAAGTAATTTCAAAATACTGTATGTAATTACTTTCTTTTAGATGGGGAAATTTAGTGTAGCTACCCTTTTAAATTTTATACTAAATCCTCACTTCGTGACGCTTGTCTTAACATCATTGCCTCCAGCACTGAGGCAAATATAGGTTGTTCCCATTCGTTCATGTGTTTTGGTCAAGCCTGGCAACAATGTCCTCCTCGATTGTCTCAGCCCAGGAAAGCCATTACCCTTTTGTCTCTACTCCTGTCCTTCAAGCAGAATTGCCTATCCTCATGTATCTAACCTGGCTTATCCACCAACAACAGACCAATTCTTTACTCCTTCGTTGTTGTCGTTCGTCGTTGACGATTCCCAGTAGTAGACTCACATTGTCGGGTAGCACAGGAGACATGCGTGGAGGTTTCCACGTCGAGGTTTCCACTAGCCAGTCTTTTATTCTTCATCGCTTCTGAGCTTTTCCTCATTCGTTCTTTTGATCGCTTCGCAACTTCGTCGCCGTCCCCTGCTGTCCAACACTGACCAACGATTGCCCCTTCTCTTGACTGAGGACTCGAAGACGAAACAGTGAGGAGACTGACTACGATTCCTCTTTGTTTTTCCTAGCGGTCTAATTCGCCGTATCTCCATCTTCGCTGCCCTCAATTTCTTCTCTTAAGTTGCTGGTAAAGTTGCTTCGATGGAGGGGCATCTTCGGTTTCGAGTCCACGGTGAGGCATACAAGACACTTCTGTCACTCAGAGTTAAGTAGACTTTGGGGACAGCACTCAAAAGTTCTAGGTCAACACTGCACATAGAGCACACAAACAGGTTTAGATCTAAGCTGAGGGCTATGCGTACAACGTCACCACTGAGCTAATAGTACACGTCACCACTGAGTCATCTCCTCTCTATGCCGAACCCCACTTGTCCTGGGGTTACAGAAATTTGTTTATTGTTTGTTTAATGTAGGTGAAATTGTGTAATTACAGAGATTTATCGCCACTAGAACGCTTGGCATGGCTCTAGGCATTTTCGGGCATACTTAGTTTTATTCTTAAGATGATGTAAAATGTATTACAGAAGTATGAGGCGAAGGTGTATATTATGGGTAAGTGACGTAATATACTGAGGTTTGTGAGTTTAGAAATTGTGAATAATGCGTGTTGTTTTGGCCATAATAGTGTCAGTATTGGGATGTTATCCAGGATGCATTTATATTAGACTGAGATTAATATTTTGACTGTTTATGGGTGTCAATTGGTTAGTCGTGAGTGATCGTAAGTAGTGAACCACCATGGTGGTTAATTCGTGAGTTAGTGTGACAGGGTTTGATCAGGAGATAAGATGTTTTCTAAGGTGGGAGTTTCTTGAAGGGTATGTAATGTGTCTGAGTTCTAGGAGAGTTTCAGTAGGGTATTCCAGATGTTTTAGGACCTTTGACATACATGAATTTTTGTAAAAGGTTTAGTTGGACATGGGGAATGTCCGTAGAGATGTTTGTTTTCTGAGTGTTATGCCTGTGGGTTCTGTCACAACTATCAAGAAAGCGTTTTTAGGTCAAGGTTGATATTATAGAGTTTAAGGCCGTGTAGATATAGATTGCACAGTAGTAAATGTGGATGTACTGAAACTGGGATGTAAGTTTGATCTTGACGAGTGGGGGGGGTGGTGCTGGCCAGTCTTAAAAGACACACTGTAGTAGTACAAGACTTCACTTAAGACAGGATTGTACTGGTTTAAGTGGTTGGTGTAAGTTTAAGACAGGATGACTGGTTTAATGGTTGGCGTAAAGTTAAGACAGGATAGTATTGGTTAGAATGGTTGGTGTACAGTTAAGACTAGGATAGTACTGGTTAATGGTTGGAGTAAGTTTAAGACAGGATAGTACTGGTTAATGTTGGCGTAAGTTAAGTACAGGATAGTACTGGTTTAATGGATTGGGTAAGTTTAAGACAGGATAGTACTGGTAAAATGGTAGGTGTAAGTTAAGAACAGGATGTACTGGTTAAGGTTGTGTTAAGTTAGACAGGTAGTACTGGTTAATGGTTGGTGTAAGTTAGACCAGGATAGTTTACTGGTTAATGGATGGTGTTGGAAGGTTACAGACGGGATGACTGGTTAATGGTTGGTGTAAGGTTTAAGACAGGTATAGTACTATGTGTTATATTGGTTGGGTAAGTAAGAGAGGAAGTTACTGGTTAATGGTTGGTGTACGTTAGAGAGGATAGTACTGGTTGAATGGTTGGTGTAAGTTAAGACAGGATAGTACTGATTAATGGTTGGTGGTGTAAGTTAAGGACAGGATAGTAACTGGTTAATGGTTGAAGTGACGTAAGTTAGACAGGATAGTACTGGTTAATGGTTGGTGTAAAGTTAAGACAGGATAGTACTGGTTAATGGTTGGATTGTAAGTTATTAGACAGGATAGTACTCGTTACATGGTTGGTGTACAGTTAAGACAGGATAGTTACTGGTTTAATGGTTAGGATGTCAGTTTAAGACAGGATAGTAGAATGGAGGGTTAGATGGTTGGCGTGAGTTAAGACAGGATTTAGTACTGGTTAATGGTTGGATGTAAGTTAAGGTGACAGGATAGTACTGGTTGTAATGGTTGGCGTGGTTTATAGACAGGATTGTACTGGGTAATGGGTTGGGTGTAAGTTAAGACAGAGATAGTGGAGACCTGTTAATGTTGGCGTGAGTTAAGTACAGTATAGTACTGGGTTTGATGGTTGGTATTAGTGTTAAGACAGTATAGTACTGGTTAATGGTTAGTGTAAGTGTTTGTAAGTAAGACAGGATTAGTACTGGTTAATGGTTTGGTGTAAAGTTTAGAAAGGATAGTACTGGTTAATGGTTAGTGTAAGTTAAGACAGGGATAGTAATGGTTAATGGTTGAGGTGTTATAGTTTTAAGAGCTAGGGATAGTACTGGTTAATGGTTGGTGATAAGTTAAGAAGGATAGTACTGGTTAATGGTTGTTGTAAGTTAAGAAAGTGTAGTACTGATTAATGGTTTGTGTAAGTTAAGACAGGATAGTACTGGTTTAAATGGTTCGTTGTAAGTTGTAAGACAAGGAGATAGTAATGGTTAGATGGTGTTTGCTGTTGTAGTATGACAGGATAGTACTGGTTAATGGTTGGTGTGAGTTAAGACAGAATAGTACGTGGTTAGATGGTTGGCGTCGATTAGTTAAGACCAGGATAGTACTGTTAAAAGGTTGGTTGTAAGTTAAATCGGACAGGATATACTGGTTAATGGTGGTGTAAGTAAGACAGGATTAGTATGGTTAATGGTTGGTGTGAGTGTAAGACAGGGTAGTACTGTGTTAATGGTTGGTTGTGAAGTTGACAGGAGTTTAGCTACTGGTTAATGGTTTGGTGTAAGTTAAGAACGAGTGTAGATTACTCGGTTAATGGTTGGCGTAAGTTAAGACAGGATAGTACTGGTTTATGGTTGGTGTAAGTAAGACAAGGATTAGTACTGGTTAATGGTTGGTGTAAGTTAAGACTCAGGAATAGATACGGTTAATGGTTGGTGTGAGTTAAGACATGCGATGAGTAAGCTGGTTAAGGTTTGTTGTAAATTAGGACGGGATAGTACTGTAAATTGGTTGGTGTGAGTTAAGACAGGAAGAGTACTGGTTAATGGTTGGTGTGAGTTAGAGACGGGTATAGTACTGGTTGATGGTTGGTGTGAGTTCAGACAGGATAGTACTGGTATAATGGTTGGTGTAAGTTAAGACAGGATAGTACTGGTTAATGGTTGGTTGTAAGTAAGTAAGGATATAAGTAAGTAAGTAAGTAAAGTAAGTTAAGTAATAAGTTTAGTTTTCAGTTATGCAACAAATACAGTTAATAGAATTATCATACATAGCAGCATACGTGTTAGAGAACCTAGAGAAACCCAAAAGTGTAGGACTCGCAGTATACTGGTTAAATGGTTGTGGTGTAGAGTTAAGACAGGATAGTACTGGTTAATGGTGTGTGAGTTAGAACAGGATAGTATGGTTAATGGTTGGTGTAAGTTAAGACAGTGATAGTTAGACTGGTTAATTGTTGGCGCTAAAGTTATGACAGGATAATACTGGTTAATGGTTGGTGTAAGTTAAGACAGGATAGTACATGGTTAATGGTTGGGTTAAAGTTAAGACAGGATAGTATCTGGTTAATGGTGGTGTAAGTTAAGACAGGTAGTACTAGTTAATGGGTTGGTGTAAGTGTTGTCAGGATTAGTACTGGTTAATGGTTGGGTTATAGTTAAGACAGGATAATACTGGTTAATGGTTTGGTGTTGTAAGTTAAGATGGATAGTACTGGTTGTTTAATGGTTGGTGTAAGTTAAGACAGGATAGTCTGGTTAATGGTTGTGTAAGTTAAGCACAGGATAGTACTGGTTAATGGTTGGTGTAAGTTGAGACTAGGATAGTTACTGGTTAATGGTTGGTGTAAGTTAAGACAGGATAGTACTGGTTTTGGGTGGTGTGAGTTTAAGACAGCGTAGTATGGTTAATGGGTTGGTGTGTGTTAAGACAGGTAGTACTGGTTAATGGTTGGTTTGTAAGTTATACAGGATAGCACTGTGTTAATGGTTGGTGTTTGTAAGTTTGATAGAGTCAAGATAGTACTGGTTAAATGGTGGTGTAAGTGTAAGACTCAGGATAGTATGGTTATGTTGGGCTGTAGTGATAAGGGACAGGATAAGTTGTAATCATGTGCTTGTACAAACATTATTATATTATCATGTGTGGACTTACAACCCATGGGACCTCCATTGTTATTTCTCACCTTTTTTATCATCTTTTCTTTGCTATTCTCTCTGCTTATTAGTGCTCAGGGTTAAGATAATTTCCATATTTTCTTGCTGATTCCATGTTTTTTTATGTGGCTGCGCCAAGCTCCAC